TCTTTCTAGATGTTTTTACCTTGTACCAAAAGAAAGAGATGCATCTTTTGATCAACAAAGATCAATTTTCTTGAAGCCCGAGCATTTTCAACTTCAGGCTATAAAATCAACATTAATTATTAATTCAATATTTGTGAAGCAAATTCAATCAAGCATGTCCTCTTGTTTGGGATATCAAGGATACTTCTTCTAAGTCCCATGATACTTCTAAGTTTGAATTCAAGAATAATCTATTATATTTGGAAGGACGCCTATATATTCCAAAAGGTGAAGCCTGATTACATGTTTTTCAAGCTCGTCATGACTTTCCAACAGTAGGACACTTTGAGTACAATAAAACTTTAGAACTAATATCTAAGGATTTTTAGTGGTTGCAAATATGGAAGACAGTCAAAGATTTTGTAGAATCTTGTGATATTTGCTTAAGATCAAAAATTCCTTGTCATTGACCTTATGGACTTTTTCAGCCATTATCTATTCGAGAACAATCATGGTCTTCTATTTCTATGGATTTCATCATAGAACTTTCAATCTCACGTTCTTATGACTCTATATTCGTGATAGTAGATTGTTTTACTAAGATGGCACATTTTATACTATGTACAAAATCTATCACAGGTGAAGAAATAACTAAGCTTTTCATTGACAATATCTATCGCTATCATGGATTGCCAAAGGATATTATATGAGATAGGGGGACTCAATTTGTATCAAGATTTTGGAAAATCCTATTTAAGATTCTAAAAGTGAATATAAAGCTTTCTTCAGCTTTTCATCCTCAAACAGATGGACAAATAGAACAGGTAAATCAAGTTTTGGAGCAATATTTGAGATGTACTATTAACTATCATCAAGATGATTGGACAACTCTTTTATCATTGGTAGAGTTTGCATATAATAATTTGGTACATTCTTCCACTCAATAAATAATTTTTTTTGCCAATTATGGTCATCATCTACGTCTTGATACTTTTGACTTTTCAAAAATTGATAATCTTGTGGTGAAAGATTTAGCAAATTGCTTGTCAGAGCTACATACAACAATGAAGATACAATTAAACGAAGCTCAAGAATGACAAAGGACCAACACATATGCCTATCGCAAGAAGCAACCACAATATAATATGGGCGACAATGTATGGTTACTTTGTCGTAATATCAAGACTACTCGTTCTTATGATAAATTAGATTATCGTAGGCTCGGACCTTTTCCTATTTGTGAACAAATCAATCTTGTTGCCTATCGATTACATCTACCGGAGTCTATGAAAATCCACCCTGTATTTCACATGTGTCTTTTGGAGCCTTATAAGATAGTGAATATCTTAGAAGAAGACAAATGACACCTCTTCCTATAGAAGTGGATAATAACCAAGAGTTTGAGGTGGAAGAAGTCTTAGACTCAAGGTGGTACCGAAATAGGTTGGAATATCTTGTTCATTGGCATGGATATGATATTAGTGAACACACATGGGAGCCATCAAAGAATCTTGTAAATGATGCAAAGAAAGTTGAAGTCTTTCATCAAAGACATCCATCAAAACCAAGATAAAGAATAGCAAACCTTTGCTATAAAAGAAACAAGATCAAAAGAAAATAACATTCTATCTTCTATATTTTATTATAGCTTCTGTGTATTTGTGATGAGATGGGGCACCAACAACTATCAGATTCAATTCAAGAGCTTTCATTTATAAACTTACTAGACGAGACATTGTGATTGTAACAAACTTTATAAAGACGAAATCGAGATGAAGATCCTTAAGAATGACATGTCCTTCCTCGAATAGATGGCAAGATACAACGTGTTTGGAATCATGACCTTGGAAGAGAATCTCAATGTTTAGTGATTTTATTAAAGGTAGGAACTACTCCTAATGGTATTCCAAATGTTTTATTTGAAGGAAGTTATGAAGGCCTTCACAATGATCAAATAATAGGGTATTCTTCTCGCCTTGGTATGGGATACTATAGATGGTTGAGAGGACCTATCAACCATCTTCGAAGAGAGCAAAGATTGGAGTATGTAGCAAATATAATTCGCTGCATCTTGGACTTATTCAACATATGAAAATCACTCCTCGTGGAACTCGTCTCTAGAAGAGGGGGTAATGTCACGAACATATATATTTACCTCAATAGTTACTTATATGATTAAGTAGAAGTAGGTAAAATAAAATAATTTCATAAAGTCTTCTAGAGAAACTTCCTAGAAGCTTCATAGACGTGGTTTTGACTTTAGATGTGTTTGAAGGTTAGAAACTTGGCCAAAAAGCTAACCATGTATTGGTAGCTTGTGGAACAAGTTACCTCCGTATAGGAGCTTATGGAACTAGCCAACTATGTGGCACATACATAGATAACTTGTCTTGCAAGATAAGACATGTCGCTAGTAAAGTCAACTTATGTTGGAGGTCCTATAGGACATCGCCACGTAGCTTAGTTAGATAGTATATATAGAGGTAAGAGTGAAGCCTTCTTCACTCTTGTCAATGCCTTTTTAGTCTTAGTCTTGTTTCAAGACTTTCTAGTCTTCTTGTATTTTTGCAATAGCCATTCTAGTTAATATTACAACATCTTTTGAATGACTTTCTACTTCTCTTCAGTGATAGAAGAGTGTATTGAGGATTCTCTTTCTTCGAGATTCATGTGCTTGATAATTTGTCAAATATAGATGATACTTAAAATTGTCATCTTCTTGAGCCTTTTACTAAAACAAAATAATGCATCATTTAATCAAATTCATTGGCACTTAAATAAATCCTCCCATTAGATATGGATAAATCTTATTAATTATAAACATGTCAAATAGAAGAAAGTAAAAATTCAAGGCTATCATTTGTTAGCTATGGAAAGTAAACTTGAGTATAATTTCTACAACATGTAGTGTAGTACCAAGGTATTGGCAACATAGGTGGCCAACCATCTTCACTAAATTCTTATAGGGCCCTATTAGGACTTTGTTTTTCAATTACCATAGACGTGAACAAGCTTAGGCTTGGTCAATAGACTAATCATTGATTTTTTTAGACTGACACACCTTACTAATCAATAGCTAGTTACTACTAATCACCACTAATTCCTAACTTTGTTGTTTCCCTTATATTGCATATACTTGAGTGGTTGTACTATTTGTTTATGCAATGAAACTAGTGCTTATTTGTACCTAAAGAAAAAAAAAAAAAAAAAAAAAAAGAAAAGAAGAAAGGATAAGTGATGAAGTGAGATCACACATTATTAGATGTATAAAAGTCGTGAATTCTTGTCAATACATAATGTCACCGTGACCTTATATCGTATGGGTTTGGAGTGGTGAGCCGGCCGTATATGCCACGCGTTCCAGGACAGCGTTGCAGAGGATTGTCGGTACAACAGCGTGGAACTGGCACAAGGGCTGCCTGGAACTTGCGATATATCAATGGCTGCGGGGATCGTCAACACTATCTGTTTGAATGACGAGTGGAAGTGGATTACTTGCTGTCCGCGCAAAATTCTCCGCCAGTTTCGGGTAATTTATAAAATCTTGGGATACACCCCTCGTCCTACAACAAACAGGGCTGCACATCCTGTCCACCTCGTGTGCTCGCTAAATTTGCTCCTTCCCTTGCGAACCCCAGCTTGTAACGCTGCACTTCTGTCTCCTTGCATTGCGTATGAATCTGCATTTCTCCGTCGCCTCCGGCTCTCTGTGACCCGGATTTTGGTTTGTGAGTTTGGGGAGTTCATTTCCCTCCTGCTGTATCTATTGAACCTGATTCCAGCGCTGCGAGTTTTGCAACATTGGGTTTTCAGTCTGCAAAGGTCGGTCTGCAATCAGAGAGTGCGGGTGTGATTAAGAACTTGTGAGATTTTAGTTTTTTGTGGTGGATTAGCCCATCTCCGCTTTCGTGTCATTTCTTTCTGGGGGGAACTTTCGACACATAGCAGCAATGGCCACTGATCAGCGAATCAACAAAACTGCCGCTTTGGAGGCCGTGACTCCCGAGGAGTTGCGCAAGCAGGGGAAGCCTTCCAGAAACCCTCTGAAGTGGTTCAGTAATTCGAAGGCAAGGCCCAGCAGAAGTTCCAGTTCGAAGGGGTCCCAGGCGAGCCCCGACCCCTCTAAGCCCAAGCCTGTTATTGTGGTGAACTACTTTCCGACAACAAACAGCGCTCGAATGCGGCTTTAGTTGACCAAACAAGCGGTACACATTGTGAAATTTGTACTTGGGCCAGAGTCAGGGATATGCACTGGAGGAAAGTACAAGAGATCCCGAACGCCGGGTTTGTTTCTCCAATTCTCGGCACCAACTATGACTGAATCTGCAAGCACTGCTCCAACATGTAAAGTTTCGATATCCTTTGCTCCAATTTTACAATCTACTGAAAGAAAGCGCTTCGCCTCGAGTACTTCGACATATGGAGCATCAACCTCAAAAATTCTGTGACACTCGCCCTATGTTCGCAAATATGACATCTACACAGGCAACGTCAGATTCCAAACAACGGCAGTTTTCGCAACTTGTCACATGCTGGCAGGTCTGTGAACATCGCTACAAAACTATTGCCTGAAGGAATCCGCTGAGGCCGAAACGTTGAATGGACTCATCCTACACACGCGACACGAGAAATTGACACAAAGAAACTAATCAGAATACACAATGCATGCTAGTGGCAACGTAGTACGTGAAACTTGCAGCAAGTGACTCATTTAATAAACAGTTTTGAGAAAATTATGTGAAATATGTGATGTCAAGTGTGCAATCTTCCTTGACGAACTAATTTGAAGTGAACCTAGTTCACTATTTTTGCACATTGATCGGTTGAAAAGTGAAACAGCTTCTGATCCAATCTGAAATTCATATCGTAGAGTTCTTTCATGTTTGCCATGAGACAGCATCCAAGTCATGTGATATTCCTGCTGTATCTCCGACGCTAGTGTATCGGCCAAGAAAATTTTTTAGGGACACGAATAGTGCCCGGAGCTCCTTCAGATCGCAAGATTTTTATCAAATGTAAATAAAAATCCGAGACCTTGAAGGGCTTCGGACCAGGAAGAGAGGATTGAGAACCATAGAGAACATTGGGAACCGGGTAAGGGAACTCCATCTTTCTGCTCCATCGCTTTCCGTTGGTCAATGGCCATGGCGTGACTTGTCCAAGCAAATAGATTTTGTTAACACTGTCTTGTGCTTGGATTCACCATCTCGCTTACACCAGCGCAAAGATTTTGCATTCGGGGCTGAATTCAAGGTAAGTCTTGTGCCCATGTGCTTAGTTTCATCGTCAACTTTGTTACTACGTTGCTACGTTGAAATTCTGTCACTCCTCGCGGAAGTAGTAGGGAGCAGATGCTGTCGATGTCTTGGGCAGACTGTAAGTGGACACAATCTCGTGATGGGAATTTGAGAAGCTCGTGGTATAGAAGCACTATGTGTTGCGCACTAGAATCTACTGTATTGCTCTCAGAAGCTGCTGTCAGCAACAATTTCTTGTCGCCTTTTTGGCAATGTGACTTATCTTCTTCCGCTTTCAATCCCGAAAGAAGTTGAGTTTGTTGCAGGTTCGCTCGTGCTGCAAGTTTCTGGGCGGTGGTCAATCGAATGTTCCTGTATATCACTGAATGGGAATTTCATTTCCTTGGATAGACATTGCCTGTAACAAATTGTGCCGCCGATCTTGTGTGATTGTATGTTTGTTTATTTGTTGAGTTGCGTTCGCAGGAGAATCAATTCAATTCAATCATGACGACCATTTGCCAGGCAGTTTCCGCAAGTGGATTGTTTTTGCCTTCTGTTACCGACAATGGTTGGCGACTAAAAGGAGCTTCGCAGCTTATGACTCAGGTACAACTTAAGCTACCAATTCCGAGGTGGTTGGCGTCTCATCCGCCTCTGTGCATAATGGGTCGTTTCTTAAATTCCTTTGTGTGGTGATGCCCAACATTCGTGAGAGTTTTGCAACTGCAATTAGTGTTTACTTCTAGGATAGGCTTACAAACTCATTGTTTCTACAAAGGTTTTAGCAGGTTGAATGTTGTCTTTCAAGATTCAGCCCATTTCTCGTCCTCGTTTGAAATTCAGTGCTGCTTAACAAAGTACTGATTCTAGGGCAAATATCACATAACAGGGAGTTGGCTCCAGGATATCTACGAGAACTTTGCAACGGAATTGTGTGACCTTCTGTTCCAGTAACAACTTTCCTTCAGATGATGCGAACAAATCTTTGGTGAGTGTTTGTGGAACTTTTGAATATTTGTTATTAAATATTCTAGTCGTTGAAATTATGTCCATTACAGTTTTGTGCACAGAAAGAGTAATCACGTTTTGTTTATTGATGAAGTACTTATGTCTCATGACATCTCTTGAGTTGAACTCAAAGGCACATACTAGTTTAGGTGCGTTTGTGCTCATCTTCTTCAATACGCAGTAGAGGGTACTGATGCCTACTGCGTATTCGCAGGGAAAAAATATCGAAAACTTGGCGTGGTGGGAGAAAGTCAACACTGCTGCAGTTGGAGTAATTTTGGGAGTTGGCATTGGTGCATCTTCTCTTGCTTTGCCAGCATTTGCAGATTTTTTGGTAAGTTTTATTTGATTAGTTCTCAAAACATGTCCCTTAAGATGAAAGTTGAAGGGAGGTTTGTGAGACCCTTGCTCAGAGTTATTTGTGCCGAAAACTCAACGCTGAGTTTAATTGCTTGAATGGTCTGTTCGCATCAGAGCTTCGATCACGCTGATTTACGTGGCAGAGATATGTCTAATCAAAATTTAAGAGGCGTTGTATTCGCAGGTACGTGAACGATTAGAACAATTCCTTTTGAAATGATGAAACTCGTATCCTGATGTTTATACTTGACTGCGAATTGTCCTGTGAGCGCGGATTTTGCATTTGGTAATAGTGGCAGATTCAAAGGTAACAGCAGATTTCGCTGCTGAATCATTGAATTATCAGGAGATCTCAAAATTTTGTTCAGCATGTGACTGTAGGAAGATAAACCTGGAGGGGTCGACTATGGACGGCAGCACGGACACTTTCGCGGGTTTTGAAGGTGGCAACTTGAAGAATAGTTCCTGGCAAGTAGCTAGCTCAATATATTTTCCCTTTCATTATAAACGTGTTTTTTTACACGTTTGGTAGTTTGTTAGGACACTGTTCCTCACTGTTGTAATAATCATAACTTATCCTGCACCTCTAAGAGGCTTGAACAAGATTTGATGAAAGTGACTATACTGCAGATTTATACATTATTGTTGTGATACTAATGAAAAACTTTCTTTGCAGGATACGGGCTTTTGCAGATCGTGTAGTCTTCCGTGGTGCAAATCTAGAAAATGGTATATATCCAAACGACCCCTTTGATAGCCTTCGCAGTTCTGGAGATTCTTGTTGAAAGACATGTTTGGTAGAGAAACCGTTCTTCTACACTCTTGTTTTTAGTTGAACCGATTTGCTTCAGCCAATGTGCAGTTAGCATTTAGCGCACCTTATGCACCATTGATGTGTGATTGATGCAGCGAATTTCACGGATGCTGTTTTATCTGGATCTCAGTTCGATGGTAAGCTCACTTTTTCCACCTATTGTCTCCACATAGGATTGTCAACTGCTTACACAAGGTGTGGAGTAACGTCCTTGCTTAACTGAACGACTTCAGTACACAAAAATTGTGGTTCTAAAACGCTGTGAAATTTGCAGGGGCTGACATTACGGGAGCCGATTTTACAGATGCTCTTGTGGACAATTATCAACGTTTGCAGATGTGTAGAAGAGCCAAGGGCGTTAATCCTACCACGGGTGTTGCAACTCGTGAGAGTTTGTTCTGTTGAGATTTAGCAGATTTAGAAGTTGGCGGTTTGATGCCTGGCTGATTCTCTAGAAGATAAAATTAAGAGTACTCATTTCATGAATATACTGACTGTACAGAAAATTGAATGTGAACCATAATATTAAACTGTTCAATGTCTGCCATTGAAACACTAACCTAAGGTTTTTGTTTATTAATACTAATCCCATGTAAATATCTCTTTCGAAACATGTCGATCATTGTAGTTTTTGAGATATTTTTGGTTGTTTTCTAGCACATTGCATTCATCTCCAACGCAAATTCCGAGGATCGTAAATCTTTATTCTTACTCTTTTCACAATAAACATTAATCTGCCGCTTAGGTGCTTAAATCGACAAAAACTTACCTGCTTGACTTGTGGTTTGTGCATTCGGCCCAAGTCATGCGCTCACAGCCCTGAAGCAAATTTTTCTCCTACTTCCTAGTTATTATTACCTTAAAGCAAATTTCAGTAAAAACGTGTACGCTATAAGTTGGCAAGAAGATTTCTTAAGAAAAATCAAATGATTCAAGTTTGCTGATCCTTCATTTTTGACACGTTCTTCCTGTGGCCATTACAAATCACGACTGTAACGATCAATAGGTGAATCAGGGGAGGCAAGATCACCAGATCAAAGCAGAGTAGTGACGGCCCTGATTTGTATCCAAACATTTTTGAATGAACGTTTTGGTGGACAAAACAATCGCTGTTAAGTTGAACCTTAATCTCTATGACAGTTGGTTGAACAGGCCAGTTGCCAATAGTTTAAACACATAACCAAGGAACATGATAAGAAACAAACGCAGAAGAATGTAGCAACAATCAAATTCCCACCTGAAAATTTCAATCAGCTGCTCCAAGGGTTATCCTCAACTGTCGTACGCTGTGGTTGGGCATATTGATTAGCAGAAGAGTCAAACCCTGGCTCCAACTTGCTGTCCAGTGCGCAACCACAAGCATTTTCTTCAGCGCCAAGAAGAAATCTATAAACAAAAAAATTTAGCATTCATCTACGTCGACAACTCCAATCCATTTAACCAATTTTCTTAACACACACACATACATTTTTCTTAAGGTTTTTGCATTTGGGCTGCAGCACAATGCTTCAATCAGCATGTACCACTAATAGTGTTTGCACAGTGTGTGTAGGGCACGAACTTCTGATTTCGAAAAGGCCGAGGTGGTGAAGGATTGGCAAACTTTAAAATGACGTGCAATGAGAGCCGCAAATGGTCGTAAAGATGTTGCATGCCAGAGATTGCTCTAATATTGCCCACCTGGAAATCAGCGGACTCCTTGCATAAGTCAGCCATTTTCTCCTCTGCAATTTCCACGTTCTCAGCAAAGTTCACATCATCCACGCGCCAGTTGTGGGAGGCTTTACCTCGATTCGCAGAGTCCTTCTCAGTATGTTTCAACGGGCGCACTTCCCGGTCTGCGCCCTTGCTGTACCTTGCAGTGCCCACACAAGCTGCAACTTGCTTCAGCAATACAGGGAAGTTTCTCCACGAGCTCCTTAACGATCTTGTTGCAAAGCCTGCCATGGATGTGCCTAACTAAAACCTTAAATAAGAATAGCTGCAGCAATAGAACGTTGAGACTGTCACATGTTGAGATGTTTACAAAACTATTCCACTTTTTGTGTTGTCAACACTGCTCTCTTTCACACTGGAATGCACCTTCTTGACAAGAAAACATCAAATATTTGATCTAAGGATCATACAAATGAAGGGACTTGACCTCCCAAATAATTAACAGTGACCTAACTCCCTCCTGCACCTAAATGAACTAGAGTAAATCAAAGTTTTTCACCGCTTAAGCAAGCACCAGAAACAGAAACATCAGAAACATTTCTACCATACGCTACCCACCACGCCAACAGCAAAACCCAAATCACTTAATTCTCATTACGACCACATAACATACAACCCAGCTATGAAAAAATCTGTTTTGCGAACAAGACACTAACTTAAGACAGAGCAATGCAGCAACACCGCAGTTTTCTACCAATCCTTGTTCAACAGTCATGCATTGAACAGCGTTACACTTAACCATTCAACAAACTCTAATGCTTGGAAGGTGAGAAAGAGTGTCGACAAGATTGGCTACTGCCTGTTTCTAGCACAGAGCCGAAGTCAAATGGCAGCAGCATGCAGTAATAGGCATGTAGACAAAACCACGTGAATGCTAGAATTCAAATGACGGGGTTCATTAGCCTCAGGGTTATGTTTCAAATTGGGATAAGCAAGAGGAAATTCGTTCATCTATATCCTGAAAGAGGTCTCTTAAAATCGAAACAAAATAGATGAGACTAGCATCGACTCTACTCAAGGTTAACATGTGGGAGAAACAATGAAACCTGTTCTGAGTTCATCGAGCTATGCCAGCATTGTAGACCAATGACAAAATTCAATGAATCCAGGAGTCTTTCTACAATTTCAATTTGATGTAGTACAATCTGAAGAACTTAATGTGCAGAAGAAGTTGGGTATGGGCACCAAGCTCTCGTTGACATCAGTGTTCAATTCATTCTCCGGTTGATTAATAATGCTTTCCATGAGGTAAATCTAATACTCATCGTGTTAAAGCTGAAGTGCTTGATTTAGCTGTGAGAACCACCCTCCCAATCCCCAGATCTCGCACGAATCTACATCTAAAAAAGCAAACAACCTGTATACTTGCAACATCGAATTGCAATGTGCTCCAAAAATCTAAACCAAACATGTTTGAAATTCCAAATATCACAACAGTAACAATTTGACCGAACCATATACTTGTATGTCTACAACGCGACATACAATATGTCAAAACAACAATATTTCGAAAAGTAGGAGGAAATCTGGTAGTGAGGGTCTACCCTTTCTGAACATTTCATGAAACAGGACCCATATGAGACAAACCCTCTACAAAGATAATAGTACAAGTATTCAAACTGTTTAGATACAAATATTAGCAAGCAATGTGATTTACATCATGTGTGTAGACACAAAAACATTCATAATCTCAGGAGAGCAAATCTTCAAAATCAGATGCCCTCCGTATCCTGAATCTTCGTCTTGAGGTTGAGGACGTAGAAGTCAGCGAAACCGATATTGCAGTCATTCACTTCTCCTTCGTCGAAAGTTCCGGTGGCTTCATTCAGAGGAACGACGTCATCAGACGAAACTTGAAACGTGGTACGTACCATCTAAGCCGCGTGTTTCAACTTTTAGCATACGTAAGGATGAATAGAGAAAACTTGTGTCTAGTAGCACCAGAGTACTCCATAAAAACTTCGGTTAAGCTTAGAACATTCAAGGTTGGTTTTTTTTACATTAATATTCCATTTTGGATACGACTTTGGACTTTGAAGACAATTTCAGTAGAATTCTTATTAATACTTTCACGGATGAGACATCTCGTGTGAACAAAATAATAATTTTCTATGGATATAATGAAAGTAAGTTTTTTTTATCAAAGGCTTGTTTGCCTTCTTTATTTAAATCCACATTGTTTCGCTATTGCTGAAAAATCCTTCTCTCTTAGTATGCTTGAAAGTCTACCCTTAATCAAATTCAAAACCTTCAGCAATCCAGGAAAATGTCAAACTTGACTTCAAAACAAAACACCCATCAGTATATTTACACAATTATAGTCGAAATTTAGGAATGAGTAATAAAACAGGCAAAAGGATCGAGCTTTGACTTTCATGTCCATTGAAACGTGAGGTAAGCTGTAATAAGAACTATCCAATCATAGTATGTTCCTCGAAGATGCTAATACCACTGCTTCGTTACATCAAGTTCACCCACCAGGAATTTTATGCATATCAAACTGGCCACAAGTGCAGTTAAAACCACACATCACTCTAACGAGCTTGAAGCTTCTGATACGATGAAGGTGTACATTGTCTTTTCTTGCACTTTCTGACAACCCCAAGAACACTTACGTGAGTCACATGGTTTCGGAGTTTGACGTTGCACACAGAGACAACCGCAGACAAACTACCGACGGCACTCTAAAGATTGTGCCACATTTGAGATGTGTTATGTATATAATGCGGTAGCTAGTTCCATCAGTGACTAGTACTCAGCGCTAAGTTGAGATCAAAATCATTTCGGTGAGGTAAATTGATTCAGGTTATTTGACTGTCTTCTCACTGAACAAGTCGCAGCTTTTCGACACTGCAGTCGTGAAAAAACCAAGATTTGCCGTATCTGTAATAAAGTACAGCCTATGAACTTCGTGCACCCCAGGACAAGGAGGCAGAGATATGCAGATGCGCACAATGCCGAGGAAATGTTATCGTGGGAAAAAAGAAAGAAGGGGGTCTATTTCAGAAGTTGAACGATAGTGATGAACTCAATAACCACGACAAATTGTTTGTGAGACATGACTTGAAGTCAAAGAATTCATAGCTTCTGCCAAATGAGCATCAGCATTATTACAAATAGAATGTACCAACTCAGGTGGAAAGAGATCGTTATTCTTTCCACTAAAGAAAATTCCTAGTCTACTACCACTCTGAGCTGACGGGCCACATTGTCCATAGTCGTCAAAGAATCGACCTCCGCGTACAATTAATATACAAAAGAATCAGATGACCTCTACGCAACTATATCTTCACGAGGCAACCACGCCCCAAATAGCTAGCACGTAACATGTACACGACTCATTCCGTATTCTACACGTTGTTGTAAGGACATTCAGGTGGCACATCTGGGTATCGAACCCTGTCGTCGCAGTAGTCGTATTTCATCATGTAAGCTTTGTTCTGCCCCAACTCATAAACTTCCTGATTGCTCAAGGCTGCTCCGGTTGCATACGGAGAGTTCTGGCATGCTGCAACTCCATTGGGATCGTTGGGGTCTACCACGCACCCATTCAGTGCGAAGTCCTGGTACGTCGCAGTGAATGGAGCGGAAGCCCAGTTGATGGGCACACGCCCTCCTTGCGTGGCCCAACTGCTACCGTCCCAGATGCTTATGTACACCCCCATTGCTTGCTGGTTCAGGTATTTAGTCCCCGGTACCGTGCCTTCCAGATTCTTGAAAACTCGGACGGGTTTGTTATCGACGTAGAAAACAACCATATCCTTACTCCACCGGAATCTGTAGTAGTGGAAGTCAGCAGAGGGGTCGAATCCCAGGTACATTTGCTGCTCGCGACCCCCAACC